TTCAGGGTTCTTTGTACATGTGGGATACTAGTCCTTTATTAGAAGTGTGTTTTGCAAAGATTGTTCTTCCAGCCTGCAGCTTGGGTTTTCATTCTCCTTTTAATACCCAAAGGGTTCTTTGCAAAGCAGGAGGAGGAGCTGGTGCTCTCTGGCTCACAACCTTCCCACTGTGTTTGCCACCTGCACGTGCACTTGACCCTTTCCCCCCACCCAGTAGAGTCCCTCAGCCCGACGCTGCCCTAACTCCTCAACTTTTTCACCTGCCATTGACACAAGTTTATGTGGTGTGTCCAACAGACTCATAATGAATGTTTGCAGATGAAAAAGGCCATGTGGCTCCCAGGCCAGCAAACAACTTCTTAGAGTTGAAGATTGGTCACACCTGTTCCTGGAAGCAGCCTACCCTGCCGTGCTGTGCATCCTGCCATGGTCCTTCCCAGAGTCCCAGCTTAGCATGATGTCGCCTGACTAGTTTTTCCCTGTCCTTCCACTTGCTTTCTTTCTCTTTCTCCTTAATACCCACCCCCCAAATTCCTGTTTGCATCTTATGCAGAGACATTTCATTAACTCTTGGACCAGGTCATGTCCAGAGAACCTCATCATAAGCGGACACACACCTGGTGAAGCTGTTCTGAATAATGATCATTCTTTCCTTGAGAAAGTCAGCTCTTTGCAGAGACTTCAGGCCTGTTCACCTGAAGTTATTGAGTCTTTGTATATCTGGAGGTTTAACAACTTCATTTAGCCAGTGATTGGAAGGATAGGGAAGTCCATGCTTCAACCCTGAGCAGCTCCGTGAAAGGTATAGATAAGCAGGGAAGGTTGACAAACCAGAGTCCAGGCTGAGCGAAACCACTTCCAGGCACTGCTTGCAATATACAAATAACAAGAAAACTAACCCGGCTCTGTGTACCAGCTACTATCAAATACTCTGTCTCGGCCTGATTGGTAAATCTCTAAATTGAATATTATGATTCTCATTCAGGGGAAGAAACTGAGCATCTATCTACACATAGCTAGCATTGGGATTTAAAATTTCCCAGGACAAGTCAGATGTGCAGAAATGTAACTTTAATTCTTTATAACTGAACTCAAATTTCCAAGCCCCTATTTCTGCTGATGGCAGAAAACACTGAATATTTGCAGTGAGAAGTTGCTCAGTCACCTCCTGTTTAAAACTTGGTCTCTTTTATACAAAGATTAAATGAGATTTGGGATTCTCTCTTCCCCTTCCTTTCTGTTGATCTGGTGAGTCCTGTTGTACAGATGTTCATGCTGTTCATCTTTGCTTCCTGGGGGTGCCTCCTGGCTAGGGTTTGGGGAGTGGTCCTCCCCCTTTGTATCCCTTACTGAAGTGCTCCAGTTGGCTGTCACTCACCTGGTTTCCAGAGAGAGCAAAGCATGTGTGTCTATGCTTCCTTGGCTGCACCTGGGCGCTTGCTGAGGCTGCTAGGACGCCAAGGCTCAGACACGTCTTTCATACACTCCTCCTTAGGGACCTTCCATCCACAGCCCTGCGGTGAGGCTCCCTCTCACCAGTATCCTGAAGAGCATGTTGATTCTTAACTCTCCAGAGTTGTGGGAACATTTCTAGGCATCCCGGTGCCCCCACTGGAGCCAAAACATAGTGGAGGAATAGAGGATGTTTCAAGAATACAGTTCTAAGAGACACTATAAGGCGAATGACATTTCCAGTCAAGTAGCTTCCAGAGTAAGTCAAGGAAGCATAAAACAGAGCAGCTTCCAAAGTGCCTCTCACTCAACAGCAAAGTTTGTTCCAAAGGTCAGTGTTATCTTCGGTTACTGCAACGCCCTTCAGTTGTGTAGTTTCTGAAATTTTAACCACCCACACAAAGAAAATCTTTATTAATTAGGAAAAATAAAAAAATTATTAAGGTAACATTGCAGATATTAGGTGACCTGATACGAATATATTAAGTCTTTATCAATTTTTAATTTTTCCTGGATTGCTGTGCATGTATCAAGGTTGCTCCCTACTTGCTTAGGAGGTTATTTCAATAACTGGGATTCTAGCCTAGAATGATCATGGGAAGAATGGAAAAGAAATTACTTTGACAAGTATAGATTGCTTTGGAAAGTGTTGGGCTTTAAATGTCTAGGGGAACAATGTGTGACAGGTCAGATCTTCTACCTGTTTATTTAACGAAAGGTGTAGCAGAAAGACGAACTTCATATGTCATTAGAAACCAAGTATTCTGTGTTGGTCCACTCTTAAATTTTGTGTGCTTCTTTTGAACCAAAGGAAAATGTCTAAAATGTCTTTTATATTTTATAGCTATCTTATGTATTTAGATTCTTCTCCACTTTTTGCTTCCAGACAAGTTTGGACCATACTTGACACGTTGCATAAACTTTAAGATGTGTCCTACAACTTGTAAGGAAGACCTTGCGAGCAGTGATGCAGTGGTCTATGCATAGAACATGGGTTTAATCATTGAGAACCTTTGTAAGCTTTAGTTTGTATAATTTACAGGCTATGTCCTTGTGGTCTGTTAAATAGTGAAGAGGATATTTGAGGAAGTGTTTATTGTTTGAGTGGGAAAAAGAGGGATATGGACCATTGATTTGGGGGGAGTTTTTTAGTTACCCTCCATTGTTTCATGACCTGCTCCTCTTAAGCTTTGGAACTGGAGCACCACCAATAAGTGTTAAGCATCCTGTCCCTTCACTCAGCAGTGAGCAGTCGGTATTTCATTTTCAAAGTCACAGAGCATGAGAGAGACAAATAGCAGTATTTGTGCTTTGCCACGTGTCAGCAGGCCTTTCTGGATCATTATGGTGATGTCTTTCCTTCCTAAATAATTTTTACAAATACACTGATGAAGACAGATTTCTGTTATTTGTCTTCGATGGGTCGTAAGTTGAACTAGTACTATATTTTTTCCTGAAAATATGCACAGTTGTGACATGGTGTTTAATAGTTTGAGGCTTATTTCTGCCAGAATGAGCACAGCTGAAAGGAATGATGACCCTTTCATCTTTGTAACAATAAAATGGTTTCCTAATGTGTTTCCCTCACTTTGAATGTTAAGTTCATATTCCCCTGGATTTCTGAGCTCCATCGTTTACCCCCTCGGAAACTCCGTGAAGAATACAACTTTGGACCGCATGACAGAACACAGAGGATGAAATGAGTTGCATTAATGATATGACAAAAAGCCTTTCAAAATCTCTGTCACGATGCAGCATTCAAGTAACATTAAACAAAACAGAGTATAAGTAGGCCACGGAAGAGAGTTCATATCTTGAAAGGAAATTTTGTGAACTAGATCACTTGCAGATTTTGGAAGAGTCATTGGTGAAGAGCCTACATGCTATGGCTGGGGATCTACTCTCCAGTCATATGTGCAGTCTTTTCTCGTTTATCAATCTTTGGACCTAAAATTAACTGTTACAGTGTTTTCTTGGTACACTTTTATATTTCTCAAAAAAGCAAGTCTTCATTGCTCAAGTTACATTCAAGAAAATCGTGGGGAGTGGGGTGAAGAATAAGATGCACATTTCTATGCAATGTTTCCTGCCTTCCTATTCTAAGTATATGTACTTAAACAACAGCATATATTTTGTAAATTAGTATAAAGAAAAACTGTCCTCTAAAAACAGAAAGCAAAGTTTTGATACTGATTTCCTTTATTTCTATCACACCTTGGATTTATTTTGTTTCAGTTTATTTTTCCCCTGAAAAATCTGATATTTCTTTTTTTTTTTTTCTTTTAACTTTAATTCTACCATGTTAGGTTGTGGGAAGATAGAAGCTTCTGATAGGGTTAATCTAGCTACACAGAATTCCATGCTGAGTATGAACATAATCTTGATCTTTGATTAGATCTGAGCTTGTAATATCTTGTGATTAATCAAAATGGGTTGTACTGTGTGTAGTATAAGTCATCTTCACAGATGGGATAGAGAATCATCAGAGTTCTCTTGAATATTTGTTTTAATCCCTTCTAGGATAAAATGGCTTTGGATCTTTTTTTAAAGTTTAAATCAGATTGAGTTCACCAAATAAATGACTAGGAAGAAATATTTTATTTTATTTTTTGGCTGCGTTGGGTCTTCGTTGCTGCACTCAGGCTTTTTCTAGCTGTGGCGAGCAGGGGCTACTCTTGGTTGCAGTGCACGGGCTTCTCATTGCAGTGGCTTCTCTTGTTGCGGAGCATGGGCTCTAGAGCACAGGCTCAGTAGTTGTGCACAGGCTTAGCTGCTCTGCGGCATGTGGGATCTTCCCGGACCGGGGCTCGAACCGATGTTCCCTACATTGGAAGGCGGATTCTTAACCACTGCGCCACCGGGGAAGCTCCAAGGAAGAAATTTTGAAGTCCAGTTTTGCTAGGATTATAGGTCAAAAAAGAAGAAACTTGGTTTTTAATTCACAGTATTTCAGTGTTTCACTGAACGCACTTCATATGTTAAAAAGAGTTATCTTGTAAAATTTAACAAATATTCCTATTTATTTGTAGTTTGAATAAAAATCTTCATAAAAGAATATAACAAAACACCCTTCATGGAAATAATGTTGAAGTTCTTATTGTTCTCAACAGCATAAAAGATTTTTCAAGATTAATAATCTCCCCTCTTCTAATTATGTAATTCCAGTCTAGTTGAAATCTGACAGCAAAGAGCTTTACTTTGGCAACTAAACTACCTGACATCTAACCCCCAGAGCACAGCAAGAGTGCTCAAACACAAAATGTTTACTGAATGTGTCTGTCATTTCAGCCAACCATTTGGGCCTCACAAGACACAATTTCTCACAAAAGTTGCTCACCAAAAATTGTAAATTGAACTGTCTGCCCCAGAGCCACACACACACTGGAGGGGCTCAATAAATACATGTCTATGATTATATACGAATCATTGAATAAAAGAACTGAAAAAAAACTGTACAATTCATCCAGTCTAGACTGGATTAATGACCCATAGGTATTAAAATCAGAATGATTTAACTTCTCTCTCTTTTTTTTTTTTTTTTTCTATAGGAGACCTGGTGAACCTCCATTGATAAAAGGCTGGCTTCCTTACTTTGGAGAAGCCCTGAAATTACAAAAAGATCCCCTAGGTTTCATGACTACTCTTCAAAAGCAGTATGGTGATGTTTTCACTCTTTTCCTTGGAGGTAAGTGGCACTTCAATAAGTTCCTTACTTGTATCATAATTTCTCACTTGTTCTTTAATGTTGTTATATTTTTCTCTAGGCAAAATATGAAATATTTGTACATTATTGTTTTATTTGTAGGCTACTACAAAAGAAAACTATGTTTTTGAGTACAGTAATCCTCACATTAAAAAACAAATTATAGAATTCTCTTGAGGGTTCCTAGGGAACCCCACTCTCCTGGTATCACCTGTCGTTTGGTTTGGTTTAGCTTACCTTTAAGAATTGTTTCTTGAAAAGCTAGAATATGTTAATGGACTTGATTTTGTAGAGCAGTTTTAGGTTTACAGAAAACTGATCAGACAGTTCCCATATATCTCCTCTTTCCCCTGATCATAATTCCCCCAGTTATGGACATCTTATATTAGTGTGGCACATTTGTTGCAACTGATGAGCCAGTATGGACACATTAAAAGTCTGTGGTTTTGGCTTCCCTGGTGGCACAGTGATTGAGAGTCCACCTGCCGATGCAGGGGACACGGGTTCATGCCCCGTTCCGGGAAGATCCCACATGCCGCGGAGCGGCTGGGCCCGTGAGCCATGGCCGCTGAGCCTGCACGTCCGGAGCCTGTGCTCCGCAACAGGAGAGGCCACAACAGTGAGAGGCCCACGTACTGCAAAAAAAAAAAAAAAAAAACATATCTGTGGTTTAGGGGCTTCCCTGGTGGGGCAGTGGTTAAGAATCCTCCTGCCAATGCAGGGGACACGGGTTCGAGCCCTGGTCCGGGAAGATCCCACATGCCACAGAGCAACTAAGCCCGTGCACCACAACTACTGAGCCTGCGCTCTAGAGCCCAAGAGACACAACTACTGAGCCCACATGCCACAACTACTGAAGCCCGCGTGCCTAGAGCCCATGCTCTGCAACAAGAGAAGCCACTGCAGTGAGAAGCCCATGCACCACAACAGAGCAGCCCCCGCTCGCCGCAACTAGAGAAAGACCGCTCGCAGCAACAAAGACCCAACGCAGCCAAAAATAAATAAATAAAATAAATAAATTTATTTTTTTAAAAAGTCTGTGGTTTACACTAGAGCCCACTCTTTGCGTTGTCCAGTTCCTTGGGTTTTAACCAATGCAACATGTCAGGTATCTTCCATTACAGTATCACACAAAATAGTTTCACTGGTCTAAAAAATCCCCTGTGTTCCACATATTCATTCCTCTTCCCCTCCCCCTGCGCCCCTAACAGCCATGGATCTAGAATATATTTTTAATTTAAAAGTATTTGTTATGGTTCAGTGCACAGAGAGCAGTGTGGGTCTAGGAATGTTCCACAGCTTTCATTAGCACAGATGTAAACAAAGTAATAATCCTGCTGGTGAAAACAAATATATCTGTTATGGTTCTAACTTCAATAAAATGTTTACAAAACAAGGAAGAAGCACACAGCAGGATCACTATGTAACCCAACATCACTGGGCGCTGAGAAGCTGGAATGTGCTCAGCTCATCCTCCTTGAAGGCCCATGCTCTCCAGCTGTAGCAGCTATCTCTGGCCACCTAACAAACCTCTCCCAAATGTAATGCCTCAAAACAACAGCTGGTCTAGCCCGGGTCACCTGTGTGGCTTGAGTGACCTGGCTGATTGACTGGGGCTTAAATGGCCCAGGGTGGCCTCATCACATGCCTGGCTGGGCCTCCTTCTCCACATGATGTTTCATCCTCAAGAAGATGTCCTTATGTGGCAGCTAGTATTTCAAGAGGGTGAGAGGAAAATCTGTAAGGCCTCCTGAGGCCTTGGCTCACATGTTACAGAACCTCACTTCCAGCACATTCTCTTAGTACAAGCAAGTCACGGGCCAACCCAGATTCAAGGCTAGGAAAATAGATTTCCGCTTCTTCCTGGGCAGAGTGGCAGAGTCACAACGCAGAGGAGCCCGTGTAGAAGAGAGAAGTTTATCGTGGCCATGTTTGCATACAGTCTTCCACGTCAGCTTATCACCTGGGCTAGGCATTCCTGTTCTCCACTTGTGTCTGCCCTGTCCCGGAAGGCTCATCTCTACACAGTAGATCGTCTGCACGCCTTTTCCCTCTGACTTCTGGTTGGCTGTGCAGGTGGAGGGCAGGAAAGCTGTGTTCTAGCTCTCCACCTCTTACTGGGCTCTGCAACACAGTTCGCTCTCCTTCCCAAGAAAATTGAAGACATCAGGTATGCTCTCACTCAGATCCCCACGCATCTATCAGATGTTTCACAGTTATCCTTACCGCCTCTGCTCCAGTTTCAGAGAATGTTCAAGACAATCCATTTACCTGTCCCCATGACCCTTACTGCCTCCTCTGGGCTGGCATTACATTATTTCTCCCTCCCATGTATGTATCTTCATTATTTTCTCTCTTGGGTCCTTACCCTAAGCTTCTAACCATGCTTAATCTTTCCTGTATTTTCCTTCTAGTTAACTTTTCACTTCTGTTTTTTCTCTTTTGCATCTAGATTTTTAAAGAGAGTTGCCTACCTTTGCTGCCCCCGGTTGTTTAGCTCCCAGAGACCTCCTAGCTGTAACCAGCTTTCTGCCTTGCTGAGGTCATTAATGGGCCATCACCTGCCTGGACCTCTCTATCTGGTGGACAAAGCTGATCCCTCATTCCTTCTCAAAACACTCTGTTCCTTCACTGTCTTGACACTGTACCTCCTGGGTCTTCCACCGATGCTGAGCATTCCTTATCTGGGTCATAGTTACACGTGCCTCTTTCTTTGCTCAACCCCCTTTATCTTTCTCTAACAGTCCTTGGAATTTTATGTTCTATTCCTAAAGAATTTAGATAATTTCTTCGTACTGTAATTATGTTGCCAAGTATCCGGAGCAACCTTTTGTACACAGAGCAACTTCACTTTTGTGCTACCATTTCCGTGTCATTGGGAGGAAAAAAATGATCCAACTGGATGAAATGGTCAGCATGGTCAGTTTCTCACATGAATAGGTAGTATTTGTTTCATTGCATCTTACTCCCTTGGCTGGCAACCGGCAAGTCTCTTCCAACAGTAATTATGTGCAACAGGAATTAATTATATTCTCTGATTTCAGAAGAATTGAAATGGAAAAAAAATCATGCGTCTTAGAAACAGAGACATTGTAGTGTATATGCTGATCCTCATGAGGCTCTCCAGGGTCTAGGCTCCACCTACCTCTCCAGCCCCGTCTCTTGCTACTATAATGCACCATTAATACACCAAATTGTTGGAATTTCCTCCTCATATACCATGTCCTTTTTGTGCCTCTTTTTTCTGTTTTGGTTCTTTCTGCCAGAATGCTGTTCTTCTATTTCTCAGTCATCCTTGAAAGATGACTGACATGGATGCATCTTTTGAGGCCATCGTCACGTATCACTTCCTCCTAAAATCCTTCACTGACCATTTCCCTCCCCATGGAATGTTTGATCCCTCTTCTCCAGGCTCCAATTACTCCTAGTATAACTTCTGTCATGGAATTTAATAAATTGTGAGTGTATTGCTAATTCACTTGTCTATTTCCCTTCATTATTTTCTAACTTCTTTACTGCCAACATTTAGTTCAGAGCTCAGCACTGATTGATTCACAATAAATATTTGATAAGGAAATTCCCAGTACCTTAGAGCTGATGAAATACTTACTATAATACAAATAAAGGCCATAGCTGGGGCTTCTATTCTAAGTGAGCTTTTGGCTTCATAATACAAAACTGTATTCTTCACTTAAAAAAGTCACTCTTGGGGGGAAATAAATTAGGAGTTTGGGATTAATATATATACACTACTATATATAAAATAGATAATCAACAAGGACCTACTGTATAGTACAGGGAACTCTATTAATTATTCTGTAATAACCTATGTGGGAAAAGAATCTAAAGAAGAATGGGATGACCCAGCAATCCCACTACTGGGCATATACCCTGAGAAAACCATAATTGAAAAAGAGTCATGTACCAAAATGTTCATTGCAGCTCTATTTACAATAGCCAGGACATGGAAGCAGCCTAAGTGTCCATCAACAGATGAATGGATAAAGAAGATGTGGCACGTATATACAATGGAATATTACTCAGCCATAAAAAGAAACGAAATTGAGTTATTAGTAGTAAGGTGGATGGATCTAGAGTCTGTCATACAGAGTGAAGTAAGTCAGAAAGAGAAAAACAAATACCGTATGCTAACACATATGTATGGAATCTAAAAAAAAAAGGTTCTGAAAAACCTAGGGGCAGGACAAGAGTAAAGACACAGACGTAGAGAATGGACTTGAGGACACGGGGAGGGGGAAGTGTAAGCTGGGACGAAGTGAGAGAGTGGCATGGACTTATAGATACTACCAAACGTAAAATAGATAGCTAGTGGGAAGCAGCCTCATAGCACAGGGAGATCAGCTCGGTGCTTTGTGACCACCTAGAGGGGTGGGATAAGGAGGGTGGGAGGGAGACGCAAGAGGGAGGAGATATGGGGATATATGTATATGTATAGCTGATTCACTTTGTTATAAAGCAGAAACTAACACACCGCTGTAAAGCAATTATACTCCAATAAAGATGTTAAAGAAGAAAAAAGAAAACAAACAGAAAACCAGTTTCACTTGTTATCTTCATCTTAGATACTGAGAAGCTTGCTGAATTTCTCATGTCTAAATAATTTGGCCATGGCTATCTTTTTAAACTCAACAGTAGACAGCCATAGTTGAATACGAGCTGCTACTTCCCTTTAGCTTCTTCCTAGAGTTTGAATAAATTCCTGTCAAAAATCCTTATTATATATGTGGTTCTAATGATCAGTTTGCAAAATAGCTCATTTGGAAAATGTGAATGAGGAACAGCGTCTCCCACCGTTGTCCCATGATGTGAGTTCAGTGCGTGTATGTTTCTTGCGTGATGAGCAAATGATTGTCATCCCCAAAAGTCTCAAGGGACATGGATGTCATCTTAATAAAGAAATTAAAAGGTACATCTTTTCATTAGAAACCACGTAAATTTGTGACCTGTCGCAGAAAATAGTTCTCTAATTGGTTTTGTGTGGTGGTGCAGCGGAATCGTTTTCCCTAGATGTCACCCCAGCAAAGCACCACTGTGCATCACTGTCAACAGCTAGCGAAATCTCACTGATAAGAGGGGGAGGATAACGTGGTCATCCTCATAAAATAAAAAGTTGGTTCACAGTCCACTCTTCCAATGAATATTTTCAGCTTGACATTTAAAAAACGTCTATTGAAGAGCCAGTTAAACATGGAGATCAAAAGGTTATAGTTATGGAAAATTTCTTTAAAATTCCAATTTATCTCATATTTCTTGACTGGGCATTTCTATTTCCAATAGTCAAATAGTTGTTCTGAATTCTCTTGGATGTGTTTCTGCACCAAATATCTGAAATGGAAGCATCAAAATTCAGGTTATAATGACCCAGATGTCAAACTTCTTGTGTATAAGACATCAAAGTGAATGATGTGTGTTTTTTTTTAACATTTAGTGACATACTTGGCATCACGTAGCTTCACCTTCCTAAAAGAAGTAATTTTGAAGGACGTGAAAAGGCTGTTGAGTTAGTAAACGATCGTATGCAGGTTATTCAGGAATGCTGGGATTAATATCTTAAGGCCCAGCCAGCTCCTAAAAAAGGAAGACAATGAAATTATTGGTAAAGAATACATTAAAAATTTTGACCCCATTTCAAATTTACTGCTCAAAAGGATGGTTTTATATATACGTATACTTTTTTGCAAAAGTGAGCCTCGTTTTGACATTTATATTTTAGACGAATGCAAACTCTGAAATTCTTTAAATCAATGTATCACATCAGCTACTGATAGCTTTCTTCTCCCTTCTGAAAACACAGCCAAGGATATTGTTTCTATCTTGTGATCTTTGTGAACTAGGCAACTTGCCTGTTGACACGTGGCATTCATTTACATAAAACCACACTGGAACAAAAGTTATTTTTGCTCAAGAATCCATGGCCTTTAGAATAACTTTTCAAATTTCCTTTGTTAAGAAATTTAAATTCATTTTATGAATGTATATGTGTTTTCCTAACTGTCTTATTAAAGATTACAAAGAAACTCTGGTTTTGCATCTCACGTTAGCAGATGGTGGACAGATGGTTTAAATTAATATTAATTTTGGAAAACTTAGCTTAAATTGTTTATACTGAAGATTAAAAGTTGGAAAGCCAGCTAGCATCTCCAGTGTTATTAGTACTTTCAAACCCACTCAAAAAGTAAAATCCAGAAAATCAAAAGGTCTTACTCAGCAATCCACATCTTATGCAGATAAGAGAGTCGGTAAAGCATAATGCCTTGATGTTGAAGAACATCAAAATAAGAATGAGAAAAAGAAAATACAGATCCCGGAGTGTAAAGAGTCTTGAAAAGAGTGAGAATTTTATCTACAAATTGCTTTAAACTCATCACTAATGATTTTTTTAAAAGAACCTGTATGCAACAAACTGTTTATTAAAAAAATATTACAATTGGTTGCTACCCAGACACAGTTTTCTCCATTTAGCTTTTACTGTTTTTATTTGAAATTAACCTCATAGTTTCTTCCCATATCCTTACCCCCAAGGTGAGATAGAGAAAGAGAGAGAGAGGGAATATATGTGTAGTTTTGATGACTTCTAGATCAAAACTGTAAAGTACATGAAGCCTCTCCTTCAGTAGGCCAGTAGCCAGGGGCTTCTGCTGCCGTGGCTGAATACGGTTTTGACTTTCCACTTAGATTTTGATGAATATAGAAAATTGGTAAGAAAAAAATTCAAAATAGTCTCTAGAAATTATGTTTTACAGACTGAGCCTTTTATACATTCTCTGAATTTTACTGACTAATTTAAAATAACTCTGTAAAGACATTTATAAGCAAAATCCTTTTGTTTAGTGAAAGGAGAAAAGTATGAATCACCACCTGTGAAAATGCACAGCCTTGCCTAAAATTATATCTTTTGCAAAGTAAGAGAATTCACTCTTTTTTCAATTATTTGTCAGGCAGATGCTGGCACTTTTATTTAATTAAGCTGCCATGGTAAAGCAGGTGTCATAAAATGTGCCCAAATCCAATTGATTCCTTTTTCTTTCTTCTCCGGGGGGGGGGGGGGAAGAAAATCCAGTTTACTTTGTAGATAACAGCTTTAGGGTCTGACCAGAATGAGTAAGTAGTCTCTTCTAGCTTTACCCTCACTCCTAGATTGGCCCACCTTATTAAATAAATTAAGGGGAAATAGAGTGGATACAATTCAAGTCATACGATTTATTTTTAGAGAAAGAATTATAGCACATCTATTCATGTACACTAAAAACTTAAACTCTGTTTTAAAATTGTAAAACAAAAAAACATTTATCCTGTTTCTAGGATTAGGTTGAAAATTATTCAAAACTTTATCCTAAATCTGGTACCAAATGGAATTTAATTTCTGTGATGCTGTTTGAGTTACCATAAATAACAAGCGAGAAGTTGTTCATCTAAGAAAGCTTCACGCACGCACACACACACACACACACACACACACACACAGGAATGATGAGGTGAAGAGCTAAGTATAGATGATTCGACAAACTTTCATGTCTAATTATTTACTGTTTTCTAGAAGACAAATAAGTGTTAAAGTTGTAGGAGCATCGAAATTTCATGTGTGTTCTTGGAAAGGGAAGACTTATTAATGCTAGCATTGAATACTGCCTACATATTACCTCTAATTAGCAGGAGTCTTAAAGCAGCCCTCCAGTGAGAAGGAGTCAGCACCGTGTAAGGAAAAGAACAGTGCGTGGGGACTGTCTTCTTGTCTAGGCTCCGCCACTAAAAATGGCGGCATGATCTTGGCTCTTAACTTCTCCTGACTTTCTTTAGCTGATAAATGCTGGAGAGGCTGCAGCTAGGAATCTCCAATATCCGTGCCAGTTTGGAGAGATAGACCACAGTATGACTCTGTTCCTCAATGTGCCTTCTTATAAAATCACTTGAGGGACTTGTAGGTCCCACCTTCAATCCTTCTGAATCAGAATCAGGAAGGAATCTGTATTTTTAACCAGTACCCTAAGTCTGGACTGATATATGAAAATGCCAAATGTCACCTCCTCAAAGAACCCTTGTTGATAACTCCAGGCAGACCGAAGCATATTTCACTTCCTGTTGCCCTTACATTGTGTTCCCACCTCTGCTCTATTACTGTCCATAACAGTACAATGGTTCCTTTACATCTTTATCTCAAAAGGAAAGAGATCCAACCAAGTATCTGGATGTCAATAAATGTTGAATGCATGTATGAATGAATGGATGAAAGCGTGATTGGATGGGTTCTAGTTTTGAAATCCTCTTTCGGTCACAAATCAATATGAGAGTTTGGACGTGTTACTAAATCTCCCTGAGCTACTATTTTCTCATCGATAAAATGAAAACCTTGGTATTTGTGATTTGTTGTTAGTGTTGAATTAGATGTTCACTTGTGAGTACCTGCTTCGTACCACATCTTCATTTATTTGAGTTAAAATTATTGTATCCAATCAAAGCTAAGATAACACCAAGTATGAAAAAGCTCTTTATGCAGTGTAAGTGATCAGTAAAGGAGTAGCATCTTACCAATTTGAGTTGCTTGTTTGTTTTCTGACTGTATTATTGGGGAAAAATATAAGAAGTGTTTAAGTAATGAATTTTGAGACTATTTAAAAGATAATTTAAATATCTTGGTAGTTTGTTAAAATAAAAATTTGAAGAATAAACTATCTTTTTGAAAGTCGTTAAGAATTTCAGAACATTTAACTTCAAGCTTCTAGCGTTTTCCCACCATCTTCCATTTTAAAAGGAAATATGTAGTGGAATTTTGAATCAAATAGATTTTTATTGTACTTTGCATCTTTTGAGATGTGAGTTATTAAGGTCTTTCTAATTTTGATTAAGATATTCTCAAATTTCAGATATCTTGTTTTGTTTTACTACCACATGAATTCATATTCTCATTTATTTCTTTTAGGAAATTACATAACGTTTATCCTGGACCCTTTCCAGTACCAGTCAGTGGTAAAAAATCAAAAATTAAGCTTTCAAATGTTTACTAGTAAATTCTTAATGAGAGTATTTTCTGTCAAAAAGATGATGACATATCATGACCTGAACGACAAGATTCATACTAGCTATCAGCTTTTACGAGGGAAGCATTTGGACACACTGATGGAAAACACAATGCAGACTCTAAAACAAGTTTTTGAACCACAACTCTTAAAAACCACAAGTTGGGACACGGAATATTTGTTGACATTCTGCAGCTCAGTAATATTTGAGGTGACATTTACAGCCATACATGGAAATGTTCTTGCTGGCGATAGGAAAACATTTATGACCGAGTTAAGAGATGATTTTTTTAAATTTGATGGCAAATTCACACATTTAGCATCAGGCATACCCATTGAGCTTCTCGGAAACATCAAGTCTATTCGAACGAAACTTATAAAACAATTGACAACAGAAAACTTAGCCAAGTTACAAGGATGGTCAGAAGTTGTTCAAATGAGGCAAGATATCCTGGAGAAATACTATACGCCCAAGGACACTGAAATAGGAGGTAAGAAATTTCTGAATGATGACTTGTCTAAAATAAAATAATTTACAGTAGACCTTTGAAATAAAAAGGCAAAATGGTGACCTTGAGAATTTTTATGCTCTTTCTAATTGGCTAATGATAAAATGTTTTACTCTGAAACAACCCTTTGTGATAATTGATTTTTTTTTTTTTTTGCTGAGATGGTAATGCAAGATACTTAACGGGGATAATGAGAAAGAGTATAACTAAGCTGCATTTACTCCTCTTATCTCATCCCCCCTCCCCTCCCCCACCACACACACATTACATTTTAAACTATTCTCATTAAGCAGAAAATTAGACTTCAGAAGCCTATTGGTCCTCATTAGCATGCACTGATCCTTGGCTGGGTCTGTGTCCTAACATCTTTTAATTAGCACACTGCAAATCTAATCAGTGTAATAAACGCTATTAATCTTCCTTTTCACTTATTTTCTCCCAGCACATCATTTAGGCTTGCTCTGGGCCTCTGTGTCTAACACTGTTCCAACTATGTTCTGGACGATGTATTACCTTCTACGGCACCCAGGAGCTATGGCAGCGCTGCGTGACGAAATTGACCATTTGCTGCAGTCAACAGGTCAAAAGAAAGGGCCTGGATTTTCCATCCACCTCACCAGAGAACAATTGGACAGCCTGGTCTACCTTGGTAATTTATTTTTATCTGTTATGAAGAAAAGAAGGTACCTCTCTGCAAAGTCAGTTTATCACTCAAAGCTGTTTACCAAGAGGTGGAGGACACAGCTGCCTAATTGACATAATAACACCCATTTACATCAATTATAAATTATGTAGTTTATAGCTGTAGATACTCTCATTGCATGTAAACATTAAGGCCTAGGTAATTAACTATGTAAGGTATGCAAAAGGCTAAACCAAAGCTTTGCAATTATTTGAAAAAGAAAAAGGTTTATGCGTATTAAGTCACTAGACTCTGAGCATCTGTTGGTGTGTTAATGCTTTCCAAAGGATGCTGGGCTATCTTAACAAGAAAGGTATTCGGGATTAAAAAAGAAAGTATTTCAGACAGACAACTTGTGTGCAAAACACACTTATTCTTCCCTCAAATGGTGTCTATATTTTCAGGCAGAGATTAAGATGTATTATACAGTTTGCAGTGTATGATTCACAAAAATGTAGTAAGAGTGATTTCCACTGGAAGTTCATGATTTAAACACACTTGGGGAAGAAAAAAAAAAAAGGGAAGAAAGGGAGGGAGTGAGGGAGGGAAAAGAAAAAGCCACAGCTACAAATTACTTCATGTGAAATGTCAATATTTTATAAAATAGTCACTGGTTCATGAGATATGCATGGTCACTATTTCAAATACGTTTGAGGTCAGAAGTGACTAAGTTACTTTTCTTTTTCTATGTAGGCCTGTGTGCCTGTAACAGTGAGCTTTTGATAACAGTGGATTCGCCTTTTCCGGTTTTGATAAGACCACTCTCATTATGTGAATGAATTTTAATTCCCAAAGTTAAATTCCAATCCAACGAGTTATTCTCTGCTTTGTCTGTATTGACGTTTCATCCTGTGGTTTCTTTTACTATACGCTATTCCAGGGCCCTTTGGACAAATGCAGGAGCAAGTCTTTATATATCTCTGTTGCTCCCCTCGTTTGGCAATGTAGGCAAGTATCTTAGCCCGTGTTGGCCTCAATTTTTTCCCTTTTAAATATGTTCCAGGCTCTTTGATGGGAACTTCTGGGAGCAAAGGCCCTACAGGTCTTGATCAGTGTTGACCACCAGCCGACATTAAGAAGAATGGCCCCAAGTGTTCCGGAGATTGTTTCCACTGGTTAGGATAAGACCCATCAAAGGCAGTAGCAGGAAGCTTGCCTTGTAGTGACAGTTGGCTAGCTTATTCAGTCATGCCGTTTTTAGCATACGTTATCAAAGTAATTTTATTTATTAATTTATTGGAGTATAGTTGCTTTACAGTGTTGTGTTAGTTTCCGCTGTAGAACAAAGTGCATTATCAAAGTAATTTTATATTTGCTTGGAGAAGGAAAATAATGCCAGCATTATTAAAATACAAATATTATTTTATTTTTCTTTTCAGAATGACTGGGGACCAAATGCACAAACTTTGCATAAAGTTCTGGGTAGTTGTTTTCACATAGACACACAATATTTTCTGGGTAGAAGATTTATGGTTCCTATGAATATCAAGGTTTCATTTCCCATTTATTCAAGTAATTTCAATTGCATTTTATGAGTCAGATAATGTATACAGGGACGTAAAGCAAATAAACTTTAAGGAGTATGTGTTTGTATTCAGAACACAGTTATAAACTCTTAAAATTTAGTTGAAATTCATCAACTTTCTTTTTACTCTTCTCACTATTGAAAGAAAAGACCATTTTAAAATTGTGGTGCTAAAGCAGACAAGTTTAAATTTATTCAAGCTGAAGAAATGGCAGGTTCCAGAGCCGTAATCCGGGTCCATTTAAGTCCATCACTAGAATAGAGATTTTCATCCAGGAGCCCTCAGACATTTACAGCTCACTTATCATCAACAAATGACCATCACCAATCCCAAGTGCCTGGAGATCCACCTGAGTACAGGAAGCACCTTCAGCAATCTAGAAGGTAGACCCCGTTCATCACAACCTCGGGTACCAGCAGAGGCCAGTGTTGTTCATTACGAGAATTGAATCTTCTAGATAATAGGGTCCTCTTTTTTTCTTTCTCCAGATAGACAGTTTGAAGCAATGTCTATCAGATTGCATCTTTAATGCAGATTGAAGCAAATTTTTATACGGATCAGACTCACAAAAGATAACTTCTGCATCTAGTCATAGCTCTATCGTATTTCTCTCTACCAAAAGGGTATGAACTATATGAGGAAAGGCAAGATTTACAGAATTAAATGTTTACAATGCACTGCATGGGATGAGTGTATGTGCATCTCATCTCCTTAAAGAAAGAGTTCTATGTATTCTAAGTACAATTTCTTTAAAGAAAGATATCTTGAATTTTTATTATTTTAAGAAAAAAGTTCACAAGGATGAAAGGAATGCTGCATTTTTTTTTTAAACCAGGAAGGAGAATTTTGATATTGGTAGAGCAAACAAAGGGAAAGGAGTTTTTTTTACAGAGATTTTGCATGTCATCACGCATCGATAATAAAGCGAAGTTGGAAAAGAAAGTTAGAATGCTGTAGAAACCAGTATGTTATTCCTAAACAAAAATGATTTCTCTTGTTTAGAGTGATCCTTGAAGGCAGAGCCCGAGGGGGCATAGGCTTATCGTGACGTGATCATCGTGCACATATTATTGACATTCGTGGCCCAATCCTATAGGCCTCGCGTGTGTCAGATTTACTCTGACATCAGTATACACACAACATCAGCAAAACTTAAAACGTGTAGCATCAAGTGGGCTTTTAAATATCTAGCCTGTTAACGCAATTCAAAGCAACCATCCGTTGCAAGAGGCTGTGATGGATTTGTGCTTTTTTCCAGTGCTCCTGAGCATCTTTCTTTACAACCATTCTACCCCTTTCTTTTACATAAAGAAAAACACAACTATATTGTTTTAGATACAGAACTTGTTATAAAGATTCTGCTTACCAGGTCCTCACTAAAATTGAATATCAGTGTTTAGTAAAGGTCTCTACAATTAAATATAAATTTAGAATAAGATAGTATATACAGTGGGGTTCAGATAACTGTTACTTGGGGCCTAAATTTCCATAGGAAAAGTTGCTGATAGAATGAAAGTTTGAGAAACTCTAAAAGAAAAGTAAGAATGTTTTTGTTTTCCCAGAAGAACCTGGGGTAGAGGTAGGACTTAGAACTACAGGTTTCCAATACAGGAAAAAGAAAAGTTGATTCAGAGAGAATATAAGAAAAAAAGATAATGTGAGAAGAGAAAATTCTCAAAATTGAAGTTTTGATAAATGGATAGCAAATAATCTCACTGAGTACTACTTCTTACTTCAAGATTTACCTGAAAAATGTATTTAAATAACTTAAAAAGTATGGGTTCAGTAAATGTTGTCTATTGTTATCACCAAGATGATGTTTAACCTCAGTGGCATCCCTATGACGTTTATGTTGTTTTCTTTATTTTCAGTTATTTACGAACCAGGCTGGTATTATCATTAGACATAGTTCATGTTAAATATATTCATGACTTCAATATTTCAATCAATTTTATGGACTTTTATTGTTTCATATGATCTTCTTTAAGATACTGGGGGACTGGGGGAACTCTTATTTTGTCATTATTTTTACAGATGAGAAAATTCTCAGGGTGCTAAATAACTTGGCTAATAAGGTCATGGAGGTAAAGGAGAGAAGCAGGATTTTAACTTGGGTTTTCTGGCCACACTCACGCTTTTCCCCTCAAACCTATCTGATACCAGAATTTTTGGAGTCTTTTTTCATTGTCCAAACAGAGAGGGGAGAGGAGTTCTTTGTATCTTGATTCATCAGCGCCAGCTGTGATATGAACATGATTAGATCAGAAAATGTGGGCTAGATGGTATAGTGTTAACTGTATTCTTAATTTCAGGATGAGACATTATGATAATATTCATAATTATTATTTTACTATGTATCAGGCTTTTATTAGCTTATTTAATGATCATCAAGTACTAGCTCATATATATATATATATATGTGTAAGCACAAGTATAGCTTATCTAATCCTCAAGTATTATTATCTTCATTTAATTGTTGGGTAACAAGGTGCAGAAAGATTAGTTAACCAACCCAAATCATACAACTAGATAGTGGCAGAGCCGGAAATTGATGCTGGCTCTACCTAACTTCAGCGCTAACCTATAAATGTTGTCAACTCAGGGGAAAATGCCCTAGAAATGTACCAGAGACCTTGCCCATTATATTTTACAAGGATATATATCACGAATTCTCAAATGCAGTTTGGGTTTGAGGGTGAGGTTGGGGCTAGAGGTTCACATCAGAATTTTGAGGGTTTTTTTAAATAAACTTTTTATTTAGAATAGTTTTACAGAAAAGTTACACAAAGAGTTCCAGTATATCCCCCCTCACACACACACACACACACACAGTTTGCCTTACTATTAACGTCTTAGTGTGATGTATTTGTCATAACTGTGGGTGTTATTTTGAAAAAGCTCATTCAATATTATAAAATAATTGTGTATTTGAAAAATTAAAAGTATCTATAATTTAGACAGCAGTAGTAAAGTTTAACAAAATCCTCTCTTCCAGTGGGGATATACAGGAGGTAAAAATTCTACTTCATGTTAGAAATTTCTAACTGGGGGAGGAGAGAGAGGCATCTCCCACAAAGTGTACACCAGAAATCAGGTAGTGAGAGTTTTATATGTAACATAAGGAGACATTGGTTAAAAAGTGAAAAATACTAATTTGGATGTTTGTCAAATTTTCAGCTCAGCACAAAACAAAGAGGGCTAGATAATATAATGAACGGCAGCAACAGGAGTTGAAAGGATTGAAAGGGAAATTTAATAAGAATTCAAATTATTGTACTTAGGTCTAAAAATCAACTGCGTAAGAACAGAATGAGGAAATGTGTGGCCCAGCAGAAGAGGGTGGTTCTCAACCTCCGTTGCTCATTGGAATCATCTCAGGAGCTTTAAAAAGTGCTCAAACCTTGTCCCACCCCCCAGAGGTTCTGATTTCATTGGTCTGGGGCGCAGGCTGATGGCCTTAGAAGCTTCCAAGGCGACTCTAATGTGCAACCAAGGTTCAAAACCACTAATTTAAAGGTTTTAGTTAATGCATGCAGTGGTTCTGATGCTATTGGCCGGTTCTGGAACATTTATTTTTTTTAAACCACCTCGGTGATTGCAATGAGCAGTCAGAGCTGATCACCTATGGGATATCAGAAAGCTTAACACAAGTCCATGGAGAGATATTACTTCAAAAATCTGTTGCTCATCTGCTTCCAACAAAATATTAATAGAAGTGTGGTATCTAGGGCAGAGAAAGTAGTTCCTCTCTCCTTTTCCAACTGAAATAGCACACCCAGCTCTGCCACATTTTAAGAGGCATATTGACTGATTGAATTGAAGACTAAAGGCCATATCATCTCTGATGGACAATTAAAAAATGACATGATAGTTGTCTTTAAATATTTTTAAAGGGCTGTTATGTGGAAGAGAGATTCAATTTTTTAGCCTTTGTGTCTTCTAAAGGGTGGAAATTTAAGGGAGGAAAATTCAGCTCAGTACGAAAAATAACTTGCTACTAAAATGGACTTTCTGAATGCCATCATTGGAGTTATCCAATCAAAAATTGAACAGTATCTTCACTAGGATCCTGGAGAGCATTCCTGTGTATATGTACCTTCCGACTTAACACCTAGACTGTAGTGTGTGTGAAGGCCAAATCCATATTCTCTGTGCTCTTTTTCCACCAACAGCAGTGGCCCAGTGCCCTGAGCAGAGAAATTCCTTAATAGTACATTTATTGACGCTGTGCATGTTGAATTTACATTTGTGTATTTTAGCAGTAAACCAAAAGCCGTGCCCGCAGTGCAGAGTGAAAGTAGGCCTTCGTACCAATTCAGATTTGTTTTTAACTTTACTTAAAATACACAATTGTTGAGCCAAAAAGTAGTTATTTGGCTTCAAATTGTCTGATGAAAACAGTGCCTTATTTACCTTCTCACCTGTCTCGAAAGTGGTTTTGTAAAAACTCGCCTACACATCTGGAGGCTCACTCTGTTTCCTCACCCTCACCCTTCTAGCGCACACTACCTCCAGAGCCCCCTTTCCCTTTCCTGTCCGCCTTCCTTTTTCAGACCATCGGCGTGTTCCATCGGCGTGTTCAGCCCCAGTCGACTGCAGCAGGGTCTGCCTGCTCATTTCACTGCAGCCACTGCCGCTATCCACTGATCACCATGGCTAATCAGATGGTGTGACAGTCTGCACCAGTCATTAAGATGACCCAAATTAACAGTCTGGCCATGTCACAGTACATTCATTCCACATATCCAGACATGGCCTAAGTGTGAGGCAGAAATTTGGATGTGCTTATTTGTGGTTGCGTTGTAACGTGCATTATTGATTGTCATGAACGGCTTCAGCTCTTTAAATCTGCAAATGAGAATCATCTGTCAATTAGTACAGCCAGCATTGAGCTATGAGGGCAGAAGAGAAAGTGTATATATTCCTTTTTCTACCAGCATTTCCTCTCCTTTGCCATATTCCTTCCCCGTCACATTATAAAGCATCTTAGCTCAACATACTCCCCAGCTTTTTGCTTAGAAGGGATACTTAATCAGAATATTTTTATATCCTGCAAAGAGAAACAAATCTCCCTAGCCAAGTGAAGAAGACAGGGCAGGCTTTGAATTGTAAGTTCACTGTGGGAATTCTGTAATCCAGTTCCCTGGTGATACTAGTCAGTAAAGTTCACTTCTTAATAAAACACAGGCAGCCTTATCTTAATCACAATTGCAATTGTTGGCACCTTGCAGTGCCTGGTGTAAATTACCCCCCAAATATTTGCATTCTTGATAGCCGTTTTTCTACAATGCGTTTAGTAAGTAGAGGGTCCTATTACCTGCTAAATGTAAGTATAAATTAACAGCCCATTATGCACAAGTTTTATAAAACATTTACAGATAGAGATCATGTTTAATTAAAATTAACTTGCATATGAAAGCCAAGTGCACTAATGATCACAATGACCTTTTATTACCTGCAGTCCCTTGTTTTGGCTGGAATGATTGACAGCTTGCTGTTTGGCTACCATGTTGAATTTCAGCTGACAAGACTTTTCATTTTAACTCAATTTGCCCGCCTATCACAAGCTGGTGGCAGGCCAGACCCAAGTCACCCAGCTTTGCCTCAGCAGCTTGCTCTAGTTCTCATTAGTACGCATTTATTCAGTGGAAATTGGAAGACAAATGCTTGAAGGCATGTGAACTAAGTATAGCAAATTAGGTTTAAAGACTGAATATTTATAAGTGTATGGAAAGTTTTTTTTTTTTTTTTTAATTCTAGAGCGAATTGAGAACTGAGTGCTAGCTTTGGTATAAAAGAAATGAAGATAGAAGGGGGAAAGAAGATTCTAAGAATAACAATACTATCAGGTTTTTCTTTCCATTTTGGAAATATGTAAAATCTCTCTGACAACACCTTATCAAACCAACCTGGCCTCTCTTTCATGGAGTGCTTGCACAATGAAGTTTAGCACCTCGAGTGTGAGAAGGGGGGAAAAAATGCGGGTCATGTTCATCTGTTGCTTGGTTATCCCTTGGTATGTTTTCAATTGCCTTGTTTGTTCGGCACTAGCACAGAAACAGATGTTGCTCCGCCATGCAGGGTAATTTACTGTGCAGCATGGAAGGCCTCCCAGGGCCCAGCTGGTCTGTCAGTGGCACTGGCTGGTGTCTGCTCAACTATGACAACTACAAGTAGAGGCTGCAATTTTTTTTTATTGTGCAGTTGTCATTCTTCTCAACGTATATATAGCCCTGCCTGCATTCTTCCTGGAGCTGGCGGCAAGGCTGTGGCTTTTGTGTCTGTACGTTGTAACGCAGAGCCACGGAAGCTCCCCTCTCCTTTGTGGATAATAATGCCACTCATTACTTTTGTCCGCCGATGATTCTCAGCATGATCGCTGCGATCCAGAGCCAACCTCGTCTCGCGCACATAACCGGTACTGGAAGGTAAAACAGATTTGTCATTTATGACCTGACCGCTAAGCCACACTTTGTGCTCCATTATTGTGATTAACTTCTGCATAAGATACGCTTGCCCAATTGTCATTTGTGATACCGCAGTGGGCGCAAGCTGCCACCCTTCCCGCGAGCACGTCAGCCAATGGGATGTGACCGTGTTATTCGGATGCCTGCCCTGTCACAGTGGCCACCCCACAATTATTTTGCTTTTGTATTTCTTCTTCCCACACCCCTCCTGGACCTGGTGGGTGCACAGCACTGCTGCATATGTCAGCTAGCATTTCACACCACAAGCTAAAATGATGTTATGCTGCTGTTGATTCAACATGAGCCAGCAGCAGTACATGGGAAGCTGACCCTTGCTTTTCACCATAGAAATGTTGGTCGCTGGTGTCCTGCCAGCTGAAATCCGTCGTGTCAGGTGCCTTGTGGCTGTCTGCAGTGGAGTCCATGTTCCAAAACCAAAGTTCTTTTCTGGCCCTGTCACCAACAAACCGATTTGACTCTGCCTGATTATAATAACGAAGGCAGTCCAAAAGAATATGCACAGCCTCACTGTACGTCATATCGAATCACCACACTGGCCACACAGAGCTGACCGCAGCCTCATTTCTTTAGACAAATGAATGCTTAGGGAGAAACCTCCTGGGAGAAGGTCCCCAAAGCTACTTGATAGCCCTGTGCAAGCTATGCATAGATTTCAATTTGGGGGAAATAGCATTTATTTTTATTTTTTGCCTGACGCAAGCCCTCACTGACCTGCCCGCCTCTATAATCTAATAATTGGTTATTCTACATTTCAGACCTTTGCTGAACACTAAGAAACTGGCCTCTGTGTGTGTGTGTGTGTGTGTGAGAGAGAGAGAGAGAGAGATTCTAAATTTCAAGCCATAAATACAACCATTTGTTACCATGTGAAGGGGGAAAGAACGCTCAATTTGGAGCTCTTTTTTCGCATTGCTGATTAGAGAGGCAAGCTTTTTATTCTAAGACCCATTCACGCTGGTGAAAACATAGTCAGTTTTGATTATGAAGGCAAAGATGCAGACCTAGACAGGAGCTACATGCTGATATGCATGCTATCAGAATGATTTATGCAAATTATGCATATTATTCCCAAAGGAATTCCTCCTCAAACTGCCAGGATAAATTGCCGGAAATTAGCCATAAAATCTGTCGTGCTAGGAGCAAAAGGTGAAGGCCACTGGGAAAGCAAGGACGTTCAGCTTCTGGAATCTTCCAGGTTATGGTGGTGGCTGTTATTTTCCCTGGATGCTGGGGGAAATACGGTTTTCTTCGGATTCCTATTAAAGTATTTTCCCTTTGAAATTTTTCCAGCAAATGCTGACTCACATTTTATTTACAACCAGCATAAAAGAAATTAAGTGTTAAGCTATCTCAGAAAGCACTACTACAATTACTTTACTATTAACTGCCTAAGTGGTTAGTAAATGCCTAAGCCTGGCTTTGAAGGCATCGCTGTTCCGAAGGTTGGTGAAATAACCCACCAGTGGTGTACTTTAACTGGGATACGGTTTTAATTTCCAGTGTGTATGCCCCAACACAGACTTCCTCTCTTGCAGATCATTCTTGCCTACAAAGTTCCTAATTAATGACTTTCTGCCCCAGTACAGCGCTGTTGTCTCCTGCCTGTGAAATGCCCAGAGCTTTGGGGGCTGGGCTACAGCTGTCTCATCCCTCCCCTCCTCACTCCCATTCAGAGCCCCCATTGGCTCCTTCCGGGTGCTCAATGGATCTGATTGGGAAAGGATTTCCCTGTCAATCACAGCTATTGTTTATGCGCTTTAATGGCAAATTGAGAGCACTTTTCAGGAGCAGTCACATTTTAATAAAATGTTGCTTGCTTGTTTCTTTCAGAAAGCACCATTCTTGAGGTCTTGCGACTATGCTCCTTTTCTGGCATCTTTCGTGTCGTTCAAGAGGACTTGACACTACGCTTAGAGAGCCAGGACTGCTGTCTGCGAAAGGGAGACTTTGTAGGCATCTTTCCTCCCGTCTTACATTATGACCCTGAAATCTTTGAAGCTCCAGAGGTAAATAAACATCAAGCCGGTATTGCTCCCTCTTAGATACTGCACGCACATTCCTCTCCCTCGTGATCTCTTTTTCTCTTACCATCTTGTTCCAGAAAGAATTTGAGAGAACTTAATGACTCCTGTTTTTCCTTCCAATGGGAACATTTTCCTATTTACTGAAAGGTTTCCTTAAGGATCTCTCTTTCAAAGGTTTCACGATCTATAAAGAGAAATACAGCGATGAGACTAAACTCCAGTTCCCTCAAATGCAATGAACGTTGATACCTTGATGGACACTATTCACTTTAGGCCTAAATTAAGTTTTGCTTGCCAGAGAATTATTAAAACCCATGGAGGGCTAGCTATTGACAGGTGGCTTAGAGAATAAATAATGACTCTTCTGCTAAGTGTTTCCAGAGTGAGGTTGACTGTCCCAGAGTCAGATACCGTCCTTGCCAGCGTTAAGCTCATCTACTTTTTCACCTCTTACTAAAGGTATGTGCCCCTTCTTGATCAATTAGGATGGCATTATGAACTTGAGATTGTAAAGCTGCTGCTCACAGGTAAAGCTCTGAGGGTAATTGTGTCATCTCCTTGTATTTTTTTCTGAAGCTGGAGTTAATGAATATCAAAGACTGGAAATTAATCCACCTTGGCTCATCCCTTAATACCACTTCAGAGGTTCACCACCTGCATGCAAATTGAGCAGAGTCATCTTCTGTGCTTCTCAGGAAGTCACGTTGTTGCTGCAGTGGTTTTTGTATATAAAATGCCATTTTTCAAAGGGAAACTTCTGTGCTCTTTTTGAGCAGTTTAGAGCTGAACCACTTTTAAACCCCGTTTCTAAGATGTTTTTCAGCCAGGCTGGATTAAAATCTTGTTGAATTTTGGAAATTAATAAGAAAAGGACAGACTTCAAATACAATGAGATAATTAGCATTTATTTCATCAGCAAAGGCAAAATTGTTTAAGTGAGGGGAGAATGTACTTATGGTTTCTGTGTATTTCAGAAGAGGTGTTATGTGAATAATGATAGCAGATCAGAATTAGGGTATTGGTGAGTGAATGAACATTTTTGCAGACAACAGGCTTCATCTCCATGTTTGTAAATATCAAAAAAAGAAAGAAATTCCACACGGAACTAGGTGGTCAATAAGTAAAGCAAGTAAATAGCTAATATTTGAAAAATATTTTAAAATTTAAAAAATTTCATTTCTATCTACAATTTTCAATTTAATTTCTGCTTAGTATTTTTATTATGTGATTATCCTGCTAGTCATCAAGTTTATTATTCATGTCACAATAGTAAAATCAACATTAAAGTTATCAAAAAATAATAAATGTTTACCAAATCACCACTGTTGTTAAGGTCTTAGAGATCCTCCTGTTCTCTATCCCCAACCCTGCCGCCATGATGGAAAAGACCATGAGTTAGACTTTTAGGAATTTAAATATCAAAGGTAAACATTTGAAAGTGTGTCGATTTATACTTTTCCTGTGGCATGCTAAATATCAATGCCCAAACTTTACATAATAAATAGTAGTCAGACGGGTTTGCCTCATACTAAATCCGTGGGAAGAACAAAATTGCAGTATTGTGAACTCTGACTTAGCATCGTTAGGGCAGCTCTAGCTTGAGTTGAAGAGCACTCTCTATTATTTACTAGACTTAACATTAGCCAACTATGCCTGACTAATGTTCAAATCAACTAGCTAATTTTTGCTATGGTATTGTTTCCTTGAAATTAGTTGCGGAATGCTCATAGTTATCGGCACAGAAAAAACATGGTATAGTTCAGAACCAATTTTATATGATTCGGCAAGGCCTTATGTAATCATTCATTCTATAAACATTTACTGAGCACTTACCACTCTCAGGCTTAATGGATTGATTCCTTTTGTTCTTAATAACTTAGGATGGCAATAAGTAGATGCTATAGATGCTCGTGTAAAAGATGCCCATCCCAAAACAATCATGCACTCACAGTAAGAAAAGAGAAGAAAGTTCTGGAAAATTCCATCCTTGGCCTTTGTCACGTACAGCACTATCCCAGGAGCTCATCCGAAGTTCATACTCCTCACTGCCTGACTTTTGTACCCTACAGATCTTGAATGAGAAGACCAGCCCTTAGATATAGAAAGTAGCCAATAGCTCTTAGGCTAAAATCATGAGAAAGACCAACTCCAGATATAAGTATAGTTATTCTCAGAGGACATGGAACCTGAGGTGCCTTAGTGGAACATTGGTTCCCCCCAACCCAATGAGGCATGGTTTCAGGATGTTCAAGCCCAAGAGACCCTAGAATATTTCATTCTAGAAACAGGTTATATCTCCCTTCACCCATCTCTCTATTGTTGAATGCCTCTCTTGTCCACGGAGAGACTCCAGGTGACTCCACAATAATCCCCTTTAATCACCTCTTCTTTGTCCCTGATTCCCGCCTCATTCCTCAGAGAATCTGCCACTGCTCACTCTGTGGCCTGGGTGTACCTTTGTTATGGGGCACACCCCATGGTATTTTGCAATTACTTGTTTGCCTGTGCGTCCATATACTGTAAGTTCCAGGAGGGGAGAGACCTTGTCCTTACCTTCTCTGAATTCTCAGTGCCTGTCATGCAGGAGAGTACCCATAGAAGGAAATAAATAGGAGGTGCTGAGATGGATGAAGGTTCTGAAAGTGAAAATATACTTCAGTTGAAATGTTAAATCACTACAGATATCGCACATTCAAATGTGTACTGGGCCTAATTAGATCCAGTAGATGAGGTGGCTTGTGTGTAAATATAGCAATACTATCAGGAGTGGTAAGAACTCTGGTGAAAGGACAGCCCAGGAGGCATCTAAGGGAGACCATGTGACTGCTTTGGAACCAACCCTCAGTCCTTAACAAGCATGTAGACCTGATGTGACCAAGTCATTTTTATTATTTTTTTTAAACTTCAGATTTCTGGGTGAAGCTTAGAATTTTTAAATGTTTGGAGAAATTAAGTTTAAAACACAATGTAGGCTAAACAAAAAATGTTCGGGAACCTAATTGGGCCTATAAGCTACCAACACGTAAACTGTGTTAAGAATTATTCTTTTCCTGAATATGGGTTCCTTAGCTTATTGTAATGTTAGCCAGTCAGGTGGCACGTGCTGATGTGGAAAAGAAAATTGGCACGTGAAATTAAAACAATGAGAGAGAGCAAAAGGAAACACCTGTTCCCAATTCTCTTTTCTTCTTTCTGTATCGGTCTAAATGCTACCCAAGAAAATCTAGATGATCTCTTAATTAACTAGGAATGGATACTTTTTAAAAATTTTATGAAGGCTTCTTCAAATTTGTCAGTTGTCAGCCAGAATTCTAGCCACTGGCTCTCAAGTAATCAGTAAATGGTGATGATTACTTTTCTGCCAAAATGCAGCATCCAAAAATAGAGCTATGGAGAAGACCAGATCTATTGGTTGGTTTTTCTATGGAGGTGCTGAGGTATAAAGGGCTGGGCCATAGGGAAGAAACAGCCAACATTTAAGATGGTAACGCATTACCTTAACCATATAGCCTCCTAAAGTAAGGACACAGGGAAACAACAAAGTAATTACAAAGCCTTTGACGTACCCCCAAGCCCCCGCCAAGGCTCTGAAGATGAAAAACCTTATTTCACCTCATGCAAGTCTGCCCAACCTACTTCTCGGAGGTGTAAGGATTATAAAGTTATAAATTTGAAAGCCCTTGAAAAAATTCTAAATCACTATAAAAATTGTTGTATCAACATTCTTTTGATTATTTCCACTATTATTAGAATATACTAGTCATGACAAATGTGGAAATACTCTCAATAATTTTTTGTCTGTCTCTCAAACTGGAATAGAGATTGTGCCATTTAGTACATTTCAAGGATACAAACATAAACTGAGCAACCACTGAGCAACCAAACTTCAATGCTGCACATACAGGAAGTGCTAAAAAAAAGCTGTTGAACTGAACTAAACATAAAATTTGGAGGACACAGATTAGGGTGGTACGCAGTGTTCCTCAGTCACTTATACCCAAAATTCTTCTCTATCCAGGAAATTGTATCATCTACCCAATCTTTATTTCTAGTGCTAAATGTTATACCATTTTCTATTTGTAAACATTTTCTATTTGAATATTCATCTACTCTTCATTCTCTCCATCTTTATTTATTCATTCAATATCTCTGTTTTCTTCAAAAGTTTGAAGATTGCTTTTAAAATATACTTTATTGTCATGTATTTATTCACTAATTCAACAGACATATATGGAACCTCACTGTGCACAGCACTCTGGTGGGGATTTGAAAATATGGAGATAAATAAGGCAGTGTGACACCTCCCATCTCCTGGGATTTCTTGGCTTGCCATCTCCTGAGGGCTAGCTTCAGCCTGGTGACAGCATAGCTGCAGCCTTGCAGGCATCATATTCACATATAACCAGGTCTAGAGGAGGAAGAGTGATGGACCATTTTGTCGTGTTTTTCTTTCTTCACAAGAAGGGAACTTCTCCCAGATGGCCCCATACACTCCTCCCCTGTAGCACCGAGAGATGGGTTCATACACCCTATCCTAAATCAGTGAGAGGCCAGAGCAATGTGATTACCACAATTGGTGCCTCGAGAGATCTCATGCAGAAGAAAGATGTTGAGGAACAGCCACAACAGTCAGTAGAGGAGTGATGGGGAATTTCAGTGTCTCATGCTTTTCTCTTATGATTTCTCTATTCTTATCCATTGAATAATATTGCATTTAATTGACCCTTTTTAATCGTGAAGCACCCAGCTATTATGGTCACTGCAACATGACAAATCCTGTATTCAAGTTGTTCCAGATCAAAAATCAAAGCATCTTGAGCCTTCTAACTTTTTGTTCTATGTCACTGTGACCTCAGAATTTCTGGGGTGAGACTATTACACCCCTTCTTTTTTTCTAAAACCAGACTATATTCTTAGCAGCTGCCACAAGCCCTTCCTAAAATTGGCTCCTGCTTGGGTTCTCCATGTCCTGGCAACGGAAAACAAACTGAGCAGAAATTTTGACTCAAAAAGCTATTTATGCCCATATGCCCTTTGAGCTTAATGGTAGCCACAGAGCAAAAGAAGTTGGCCTTTTCCCTTCTTGTTTCATAATATAAACAACTAAATAGGAATTTCTATGATATTTATTGTGAGGAAATCGAATGGAAGGTGATGGAAAACTAGAGGAGTGACCTTACTGGTTGACTAGATGTTTGGGGGAATTGAACGTACGCTAACTGAACATGGCAGGGCTGGGAGAGCACTTCGGCATTCTTTGCTGGTCACTGTGACTTCTCAGCTGCCTGTTCACGTGCACGAGGAAATATAGAAAAGCCATGACAGTCTCTGGTTTATTTATGATATCAGTACACTATGAAGTCATACAAGCCAAGTTTTCCTTTTGCATGTTCTGGCTTAAACCATAGGACTGACCACAGGGAGAGCGTTTCAGAATAGAAAACCATTTCATGGCACAATTGACATCAACTGGTTTGGCCTAGGGAAGGAGCTCTTGGGAAGAGCGCTGGTCTCCTCAGATGGGTCAGTAAGAAGGAGGAAGCACCTGTACTGAACCCAGGCAAGCAGGCTTGGGCCCCAGGAATGGAAAAAGATTTACTGGGAGAGAGTACCGTATAGCCATCCTATCTCCAGTAACAAAGTGGATGTCCACAGAGAATGTCCTTATCCTTACTACAAGGATGGACAGATACTTTTAGGTTAGCACTGGTTAGATCCTATCCAGATACATCCCAGAACTATCTGTGGGAAAATATATTTGCACTCTGTTGCAGATTAATTTTGCCATTATGATTTCATCAACTTGCAAGTTTAGGGGGTGGAATAGAAACCACACAAAATGTGTTCTCTAAGCTTGAATATTTATCAACATCAGTATCCTAGGTAATTGGGGATAAAACCAATACTTTTAAAGGAAATGATTTTGCTGACATGAATACTGGCATTGAGTGAGAAAATCAGATCATCTGTGACAGATTCAGTATCTATACGTGAACTGTAGGGTTTTCACTATAAACTAAATGCTTTCAGTCTGACCTGCTTCTTCGCCTTTGGCTTCATAGTTCATAGCAAAGCTGTGAGCTGAGCAGGCCTAATGCTAATGAGCACCGGACTTGGTCATTGTCATGCGTGCCATGTGCGTTAATGTAATCAGTGGTTTAATTCACCATGGGCTAAAATAAGGTCCTTCAGTGTCCTCTCAGAGACTCACACGAGAGTAAATTAAGATGGAGGACCCAACACCCTCCATAAACCAGTCCCGTAATTTTCTGGAACAAGTACTATAACTTACTTGTGAAAACATCTCAGAAACCAAGAGAGTTAACCCAAAGAACACTCATTCTAAATAGAGCTGTCATAGGAGAAAGTCGATACAACATCAAAACACAAGCCAGACCGATTTTGTGGCTTAGTTCTTCTCTAGTGCCTAATGTGAATCTTATTATTTAATATCTATTTCATCCCAACACTAAATCCTAAACTCATCCTTCTCATCCATCAGTAGCTGATGGGAAGGGATAGAGAAGGGCACACGAGGGATCCTCAGGTAGGCAGCCTCTGGGGCCAGTAGGATTCACTGTCCGCGAACCATGGTAGCTCTGCAGGAGCCCTTCCCTCTACCCAACATTGGTATTTCAAGTGCCCGTATGTGGAGACCCACCTTAGAGAACAAAAACAGAAATACTGCCTCTATACTTAGGAAACTCAGCGTAGGAGAGAAATGTGAAGAAAAGTCATATAGAAAAGTTTGTACTTGTTTGTTATGGGAGAAGTAATTTTCTAATAACACTGGGGTTTTTTGAAAGTTCATACATGATTTGCACTTAGTTAAGTTTTACTTCCTGGTGTTTGCTGGGTTAAAAGAAGCCTTTTAAGATGGGCAGGGAGGGGCTTCCCTGGTGGCGCAGTGGTTGAGGGTCCACCTGCCGATGCAGGGGACACGGGTTCGTGCCCCGGTCCGGGAAAATCCCACATGCCGCGGAGCAGCTGGGCCCGTGAACCATGGCCGCTGAGCCTGCGCGTCCGGGGCCTGTGCTCCGCAACGGGAGAGGCCACAACAGTGAAAGGCCAGTGTAACGCAAAAAAAAAAAAAAGATGGGCAGGGAGAGCTGGCAACTGTGTGAACCTGAACTCAAACTATTTCATGGAAATTTTTGATTTTAACACTCTGTTTTCTTCTTTACAGGAGTTTAGATTTGATCGTTTTACAGAAAGTGGTAAGAAGAAAACCACCTTTTTTAAAAGAGGGAAAAAGTTGAAGTATTACCACATGCCATTTGGATTTGGAGTCAGCAAATGTCCAGGCCGATTTTTGGCAATAGTTGAGATAAAGCAATTGTTGGTTGTATTTTTAACTTATTTTGATTCAGAAATAATTGATGATAAGCCCTTAGAACTAAACTACAACCGCTTTTTGTTTGGTATTCAGTATCCAGACTCTGATGTTTTATTTAGGTACAAAGTAAAATCTTAAAGAAGCTAAAAAGAAAGAAGAGAAATCTTTCAAAGCTAACCTAAATGTCCTTAGCTCATCTATTTGTTTTTAATTTCTTCAAATGTAATTGCTTTGTTTGTTTTAAAAGTGCCAATTTCTGTTTGATCTGAGATCAGTCCAGTCTGTACTTTGTCACAAAACCCATCAAAAAAAAGAAAGAAAGAAAGAAACTGCATGGTGGCATGAAATTGACATCAAAATCAACATAATGATTAACTTAAAGTAGCTTTCTTTAAGTTTCTTCATACATATTGTGATTTGCAAGTGTCATAGTAAATGTGCCTTCACAGCAATAGATTTGACACTGTGGGATTTTTTTAAAGTCACAAATTCTTCTCTAATATGTAAGAATACACTTTATGTACTAATGGAAATTTGTGCTGGAAATGGACACAGTCTAACAAATTCCAAGTTCTCAGAGAAGAAGGAAATTAAATTTCCATGAGATACACTGGATGAAAATGTTCCCTTCAAGTATAATATCAATAATATCTATATTGCCAGGGTACGTTTGCATTAAATGAGTTTTGCAGTAGATTAAATGCTTCAACTTCACTTCAATATTTAATCATCCATAAATGTTCTTTATTACTTTGTATACTGTGGCTCCATAGAACAAAATTTCTTGTTATATAAGGCCACTCATGTTCAAGTGAGACACTGATAAGATTTATCAGTGTAAGAACACACAAAAACCTATTATATATTCAGCAATTGCCCTAGACATTAGTATTAGGTTTATTGTAGGAGTAAATATTGAGCTCAGTACAGGGCTGATTGTAGCATTTGACTCCAGTGTAAACTATAAGGGTTATGCCAGTATTGGAATTAACTTTCCTAAATGTTTCCATTTACACCAACTGAGAAATTAGATAGCAGTATTTGCTCTTGACGCCTCACCTCTTGGACTTGGAGTTTATTTGTATTATTTGAATTACAGCATTATGTAATACAGTATAATTCCATATGCCACAATGCAGCATAGTATGGAGGATTCAAAGATTGCTAGTATCAGATTGCCAAGTGATCGTCTGGCATCCTACCTAACTGCTGAGGCCGTATATAAACAGGCAAAGCAGGTAATTAAACCCAGTTAATTCATGCTGCATTCTTTGGAACTTCTGATATTTTGGAAATGTGCTATTGTTTTTGAAAAGGAAATTGATTTTAAAAATAACAGTATAAAATACTTAACCATACTTAGTAACGAAATAGATTTTCTAGCATTTATTTTCTCCTTCCTGAAGTCCATACTCTAAGTGCACCTTAGTGAAGGTCTACCGGTCTAAACTTTGTTTTTGCCGGATTGAAGATGTTTTCCTTTTTGCCCTCATTCCTGAAAGGTGATTTCGCTAGATGCACAAGTCTAGATTGACAGTGATTTCCTCACAGGGCTTTGAGGATATCTCATGTTCTGAAGAGGTTAGCCTTTATTCGGTTTAATTATTCAGTAGGTAGTCTGCCTCTTGGACAGCTTTAACGTGCTCTCCTTGTCTTTGATGTTCTTAGTTTGTTTATCATGCTTGCATGTCATGGTGTCTTTCATGAAGTGTAGAATGTTCACAATCATTATCTCTTTGAGTATTTCCTCCCTCAGGCTCTGTATCTCTCTCTGTACTCCATGCTGTTTGACTTTTTTGCCTCGTATTTTCCACCTCTAATTTACATTCTCGGTAATTTCTTTGGATCTTTAGATTTCTCTGCCAGTTTATTCTACTCTTTAACCCATCCATCGAGTTTGTTTCTTGCTTCTTTTTATTTTAACCTCAGGTTCATAGGACTGAGTGATCACATGCCTTATGCCCCTTAGTTCATGGTACACAATTATAACTGGCCCAAACAAGGCCCTCTGGCTTTATTTACTCATTCTATTTTATCGCTAATGGCCACCATTATACCCCTCCCCATCAGAGGCAAATAGTCTGTGTTTGGTGTGTATCTTTTTATTTGTATGTGTTTTTATAAAACATATGTTATTATCTTGGGTGCATATGTGTTTAATTTTCATAAATGTATATTCTATAAATCATTATTCTTCTTAATGTTTAACTACACTCTATATTTTTAAAGATATATCCATATTACTTTATGTATATTTAATCTGTTGCTTCTAACTGCTGTATAGTAACCCATACTGTGCACCCACCATGTTTTAATGCTCTATTTACCCAGTGTTGGAAACTGTGTTGGTGGGACAGTTAATTTGGGGGGAGAGGCCAAAGGAGAACCTAGACGTCCTCCCACAACTGTGTGCTCCACCCTCCACCCTGAGCTGCAAACCCTGTCATCAGCAGCCTCACCACACGCGCACATACACACGCGCGCTCGCACACACGCACGCGCACGCACTCACACACGTGTGCGCAGATGCGTGCACACGCGCGTGCAGACACGCACGCACACACGCGTGCACAGGCGCGCGTGCGCACGCCCACATGCACGCACACACACACTGACGCGTGCACACGCCCACATGCACGCGCGCACATACTCGCACACATGCGTGCCCACACACACACACAGGCCGTGTCAGCCTTCATTCTCTGAGATGTTCCAGACTTGTGTTCCATTCTGTACCTGGTATTTCCACATCATCATTGTTTTGTGGGTCTGATTCTGTAGTTTGCTTTTCTTTTAACTCTGCCTCAGGATGGCTTGTTTACTGGGCCCATGTTCCTTGGAATTTTATCTCTGGACATTTTTTTAAGACCTGAGTTTAAAGTTCACACCTCCAGAGAGAATTTGCGTTTGCTTTTGTCTGACTGCTGGTGTTACTATCAACTTCAGATCACTTTACATTTTCAACTTGAGTATTTTGAAAGGGGATTGGGAACAACATAGATAGTGTGGGTTCTAGCCCTAAATCAGCCAGACTGCAACCCTATGAGTAGGAATAGACAGGAGAGACTTTCTGGGTTTTTTTTCCCCTCTACCCAAAGTCAAGGCTGAGACAGGCAAGTATACCCACAGTCCTTCTCTGTGGAGCAAGGTTTCTTTCTAAGTCACTTACTGAGGGTGCTGTCTCTGCAAATTCTTGGCTTTGTGTACAGGTCTTGGATTACACGCGCACACACACACACACACAAACACACACGCCCCGCTTGGGCCCCAAGCTTTATCTTCTGCCTGCCACAAAGTATAGCCCATTCGTTTTGCACTAGGACATCTATTCCACCATGTTGCCTGAAGTGGAAGCTTCCAGATTCTTAAATTCATCTTAATAGCACACTTTTGTGCTGCTACAGCAGAGGGAGCACAGAAAAGTATTCCATTCTAATTTCTGCTTAATTTATAGCGAAAGGAATTTAGAGTAGAAGTATTATGTAAAATATTACATAAAAGCAATGGGTGGTAGAACCAAAACAAGAGAGTCTTGTGACAGGCTTAAATCTGGTAATTAAAGATTGTTTATAAATAGAATAAATGGCATGGAGAAATAAGTTAAAAGACATGGATTCTAGCTATGACATAACTGGTTTGTTTTCATCAACAAGTCACTTTGCCTCTCAGTGCTTCAGTTTCCATATTTGCAAAATAAAAATATTAAGGCCTTTTGACACCAGGGTTCATTATGAGGATTGAACACAGTAAGATGTGCAAACTTACTTTGAAAAGTGTAATGCAATATACAAACTTAAAGTTGTAAAAGTGATACTTTGACAGTGTTGTGCCTTTTAAAAACTGTTCTTTTGTATTTGTTAAAGGGAACCATTTTTTGTCATTAGTTAATTCATTATTCATTTATTCAGTCAAACACTTATTGAGCATTTCCTCTATCCGAGATGTGATGCTATGCACTGGATTACCCTTCTTCAAGAACACATAATTTATTAGAGAACACAATACATACCCAACTAATTTATTATAAATGTAATTGTAATAAATCATCTCCTTAAAACTATTTTAAAATTCTGATTCATCACCAGTTCTAACGAAACTTCCATCACTCATTCCAAATTAGTGTTCTCTAATGAGAAATTACTGTGAGCCTAATTACATACAATAAAACATATACATCAAGTATTGTGATTATATGTTAAAAATAACGAAAACCAAATACAATCATTGAGGCTTCAGAATTTTTTAAAAGCTGTATTTTACATATAGTAAAAACTCATCTTTTCATTTTTAAGCCTCTTCTAAATTTCAAATGAAAGAAAATGAATAACTAAAAATATTATTTTATATCAATGACCAACAGTAATGAAGCATTCAGTTAGCAAACGCTAAATGCTCTGAAGATATTCAGGGAAAAGCTATTTATCACTGAGTAAGGAATGCTGATAAGCAACCTATTCGGGGACTTTTATCTGCCTTGTTTGGCTTTCTTGACGTACTTCATTATATTTTCTCCATTTTCTCATTAACTTTTGGGTCACAAGTGTGAGGCAGAGGAGCTTCTATACTCAAAGTTTGCATGATTCTGTTTATTTTCTCATGAAAAATAATTTGGGTAGCATTTCCTGTAAGCTACTTCTTCAAATTTAACCATGGAATCTTAAAAACAATTTCAAAGATCAAAGCACAAAAACTATCTAGACTTTGATCTTCGTATAAAACAATGTCAATAATTATAAAACAAGAATTATAGGCCCTGAGAATGTACACTGCTTTAATCTATTAAATTTGCCAATATTGCAAACCATTATGTACTTGAACTGCATTATTAGGTATTCATATTCACATACTCAATCAGGAAAAAGTTAGCAAGCCAAGATTAAGTTCCCTGTAGCATTATTTTAAATTACAGTGGATGATCACATAAAGCTCTCTAATGTTTCTCTAAAGCAATTATTACTTAGTCTACTTCAGATTGTTAATCTAAATCAGTGATCATTGACGATGGAACTTTTTTGCTTAAATGTTTACTTTGTTTATAATATCTTGAGTAAGATAAATTTAATTCGTGAAAATCTCTCCTGAACAATTTTTTAAAGGAGGTAATTTGGCAATACTTACCTTTTAAAATATTTTTTAAGCAGAGGAGTGCTGTATATTAAAAAAAAAAATTGTCCTAAATGTTTGTTTAATACTCTTTTGATTTTAAAATGGTATATAGGTGGATTTATGAGGAAGCAGATTATCTTGAAAAGTCCTTAGGTAAGAAATGCAAGTGCTTTGTAACTCAATTAATGTTTTTTAAATTTACAACAAGCCAATAAATTAACTTTTAAAGCACAAGTGAATGACTGTGTCCCCTTATTTCCCTACTAGGAGCATGT